TGGAACTGAACGTTAAAAAGTCAGCTTCTCATTAAAAAGTTTCTCCTTTGACCTAAATGTATGATTGTTGGGGAATGGTTTCATAGCAGGGACTGGCCAGATTGTAGTCGCAAGACTTTAATTCACTGGGGCCACCTGATAAATCGGGGTGAGGCGAGGTCTACTTGCTGAGTTCCATCCCTTTGTCTTTTAGAAGAAAGACAAAGGTTACGCTTGAAAACCGCATTGACTCTGGAGTGCTCACTCCCTGGGAGTCTTTGTGCCGTGTAATTCCTTGGAGCAAGTAACCTTGCACAAGTCAAGAGTTATGCAGTCATTGTGTTATGCAGTCAAGTGTTATCCAGAGATTGTGCTCATAACATCCCTCCTTGAGCCTCATCACTACGGTTGTCATCCACCACATAGACACAGGGTAATCTGTGACACGCCGTCCAACCGTGGGATAAGTACACTCTGTGAGATAGGATAAGTTTTAAAATTAGAAAATTTTAACTATAAATTGTATATTTATAATACTTATCCTATCTCACGCGATGGATTCCCGTCTGATCATCCCTACTTCACAGATTATGACAATTGCTCCAAGACGAGAATGACAAAACAGTCACATGATCAACCAGCGAGTAGGCTGCATGCTTCTCAGGATATTCGCTCTTTCAAATGTTCAATAGTACTCAACAACAAAGCTTCCTCCATTTCTCCTACCGAACATGCATGACTTTACACTTCCCCTTCTACGGTTGAACGTCAATATTCGTTGCATTTTTGCAATTCCAGTAAACTAGCAAATTTAACTGAAGCTAAGTTTTCTTTAGCCATTAATAAGACAGTTCGCATCACTGCAGTCACTTTTTCGTCAGTTTTCTCATTTGCGACATTCAAATGTGCACTCATCTCATTCTGTTGATAAGTTATTGTCAACACATGATGATGTGCTGCACTCTCACGATGTTCTTTCAGAGCAGATTTTTTCATATTTGAACAACCTTTGATAAAGCCATTTCATTTGCCAGTCAGCTCACATATTTTACAGTACATTATAACAGTTCCATTGTCCTCCTTGTATCGGAGCCATTTAAATTCCGATGTCCAGTCTCAATTAAATTTCCGTAATTTAGTTAGACTGATTGCAGCTTGAACTTGAATAATTATTTTGCCTCTTACTGTTGTTTGTTTTGTCATCCTCAAAAGCAGAAACCTTATGTTTACCTAGAGAAAAAATTGGAAAGCGTCGTCTGCTTTCAGCTTGCCATTTCGACAAACACATTATATTTAAACAATCAGACAATATTATTAGTTTCCATGATTTCCAGTGACAACAGTAATTATTGTGACGTTTCAAGGTACAAAATACATCCATCATTTCGGAATGACTGTCAGACTGACCAATCACATTGCACGTAGCGTAATGAGTTTAGAAGGAAAGCTCATCTGACACAAAAAACGTAACTGGCCGATTCTATTCTTAGAGGATTATTTTAGCAATTTTATTTTTATTTCGGTAACATTTTAACCAGGACAAACAATAGTTTGGGTATTTTACCGGACACGTTGACTGATAGCCTCCAAATTTATCGGTCCCAGGCAATTTTTACCGTCCAAAATCTGGTATATACCTGAGAACGGAAACACTGCGCTATATTGTATGTCAGTGTATATACAGATAAACACACACCTGTCTTTAAAATTCGAACACCCAAAAAAACAGCTAAATATATTCTTATTAACCAAATTAGGTTGTTCTTTCATCATAAATTCTGGCATGACCAGTAAACAATTAAATTGTTTTGAGTAAAGGCTGATGGCAATTTTTTGCAGAATTTTAGGAAACAGATTTGTTTTTGGGTAAATAATCCCTGACCTCTTTCCAGAAAGTCATGGTCATACCCTTATTTTGAACAATTTGTGGTATAATCAGTGATTAGTGCCCTCACAACACTGGGCTACTTAGCAGTGCATTTTAAAGACCAATGGTGGCTGGGGGGCAGCTTTCAGTCCAGGTCTACCTTGACAACATGGTTCATGAAATGTTACATCATATCTGTTGCGTGTATTCATGTGGCAAGTCATGTTAAATTTCTGAGAGGTGATACAGCTGGCTCCAGGACAGGATGGCAGTTTGAACACAGCTGTGTGACACCTTGCTGCACACAATAACAACACGTTTACAAATTACATTCATGTAGGACTCAAACGAAGGGATTGCTTTCACTAAGCACTGGGGCACCAGTCTCCCACTACGTATGTTATGTTGATGTTTCTGTTTTCAGGATTCATTGTTTTCTTCTGTCCTTTTGCCTAGTCACAATAATCGGTATATTTTCAAAAATATATACATGCATCTGTTTGATTGACATTTAAGAAGTTGGTGAGTAATAAGAAGTAAGATACTTTATAGATGACAACTTCTTTATTGTATATGATGTGACATTTCAGTATAGATTTCTTATACCGTTGTCAAGCAAGAGTGAAGTACTACAACACAGAACGGACTTGTATACATCAACAGGGATTAAGTAAGACAACATGTAGGTATGCATCAAAGGGATTAACAACAACAATGGATGGTGGTAATAAATTAATAATGCAGTGACAATAGGAGGAAGCCAACTGTCCATGTGGTAGACCAAAATATGAAGAATGAGGACAATTTTTTATGGATATACAACTTCTTTATTCTGTATAGGCGACGTTTTGATGAATCTAATGTCATTGTCAAGCAATCATCTCCTCAGCTTCTAGAATGACACCCGTGAAGATCCAGGTTTGAATTGATCTTCAGTAACCCATGCTTGTTGTGAGAGGCGACTAACGGGATCGGGTGGGCAGACTCGTATCCCAATTGCGCAGGTTGATACTCATGCTGTTGATCACTGGATCAACTTGGTCCAGACTTGATTATTTACAGACCGCACCATATAGCTGGAATATTGCTGAGTGTGGTGTAAAACCAACTCACTCACTCTAGAATTCCAATCAAAGAAATCAAGATGTACACGGCAGATAAGATTAATTAGCAATGATGGCTGGAGTGCTCTGCTGTGTTGTTTTTATCTGTTCACTGTATGCAGATGGGATGAGATATACTTGTTCTTTGTTGGCTGAGGGCTTGTGTCTGCAGATTAAAACTGCTTTTGCAAGTTTTCTTTTGGTGAAGTCCTGGAGGTTTTTTGATAATATCTCTACATTGTCCCAAATTATGTTGTGATTAGAACAGTTGATGATGTGTTCTGAAAATGCTGATTTTTGGTCTGATTTTGTGTTCTTTGATTCTGATATTTATGGGCCGGGAGGTTTCACCTACACAGGCTTCGCCACAGACACAGTTGATTTTGTAGACAACACCTTTGGGTTGATGTTGTCATTTTGAGGTGTTCCTTCCAATAGCTTTCAGTAGTGTTTTTAGTGATGTAGAGCTGGTAAGGTTGGTTTCGCTGCCTGCTTGTGACAGGATACGACTGATGTGGTGGGATGTCTTCCTTATGAAGGTGAGAGAGATATGAATAGGTGCTGGTTCAGGTTTGTTGGTGGTTGGTTTTCTTGTTGGGTGAAGGTTGGTGCTGATAATCTTATCGACTAGATTTGAGGGTAGTGGTTAAACTTGGTGAAAACATGGCGGAGGTGATGAATTTCTATTGTGAACTGGACCCAGGGTTGCTGTTGGATGAAGTGTTGCAGGAGGATTGCTGGGTCTTGGTCCTGTTACATTAGGTACCAAGCATGTATCATTGTTGAATAACAGCCCTCTACAGAGCCAGTTACATTATGTACCTAGCATGTATCATTGTTGAATAACAGCCCTCTACAGAGCCAGTTACATTATGTACCTAGCATGTATCATTGTTGAATAACAGCCCTCAACAGAGCCAGTTACATTATGTACCTAGCATGTATCATTGTTGAATAACAGCCCTCAACAGAGCCAGTTACATTATGTACCTAGCATGTATCATTGTTGAATAACAGCCCTCTACAGAGCCAGTTACATAATGTCTTTTTCGTCACCAAACTTTGTGTTTCCATGGCAACAAGTTTGACTTTGACTGAATTTGGTGGTAGGGTTCTTTTACCGAGAAAAACTTTAAAACAGTTCAATATTTCTTCAGCAAACGTGGCACATAGATAGGTCTGGTGGTGAACTCGTGCCTTTTGGTAGTTTTGGAATTCTGAATAAAATATTTTATGAGTTTCCATGGCAACAAGTTTTGCTTCGACTGAATTTAGTGGTAGTGCTCCTTTCTGGAGCACAACTTTAAAACCTTTCAATACTCTCCTTCCACTTTGCTACATACACGCCAAAACATTTGACATCAATTTGTTTTTATAGAACAAACTTTATGGATAACAACTTCTTTTTATTTGAAAGTGCGACGTTTCGATACAGATTCTTGTACCGTTGATAAGCATAATGCTTGACAACGGTACAAGAATCTGTATCGAAACACTTTTGTTATCCATAAAGTTTGTTCTATAACAACAAATTGATGTCAAATGTTTTGGCGTGTATATAGCAAAGTGGAAGGAGAGTATTGAAAGGTACAAGAATCTGTATCGAAACGTCGCACTCACGAATAAAAAGAAGTTGTTATCCATAAAGTTTGTTCTATATTGTACTTCCCAACTTCTAAAATGCCACTCAAAGAAATCAATTTGTTTATTCAGCATGTGTGGCCTCCAACCCATATGCAGATAATACAACCAACAGACATAACCATAACTAGTAGACATGTTCGTGAAGAGTATTTTGCCATTGCGGGGGATATTTATGACTTTGTCTTCTTGTTACCTGTTATAAAAGCCATAACCAATGATCACATTGTGAAAACAATAAAAGAAATATTCACAAATATAATAACAGTGTATTCCGTTTCCACATGCAACCCTCATTATGGCCATACTTGAGGACCAGTGACCTAAAAATCAAGTTCTTATGTACTTTTCTATGATGATGCAATGTATTTTCTTGGCTTCATCTGACAAGATTTCTATTGTTGTTTCAGGCTCTTATGGCAGGACGCAGTTTTTCAACAGAAGATGAGTGTTCAGAATATGGATTGCAGCCAAACGAGGAACCTGTCATGCCCATTTTCTCCCCTCCCCCACTGGCAATAGATGCAGAGCCAACATGTACCCTTAAGGACACTTTCTGGAAGGACTTGGAAGAGGGCCGGATCAACCTATTTAATACAGATATGTACTCAAAGGTGAAGGGCCAAGGCCGAGCTTCAAGACCTAAGTCATTCAAGACTCACTTTAAAGGCCGTGCTACTGAAGATAAAGGAAAAGAGAAAAGGGAGATGACAGCAGGAGATGGGATAGAAGGGAGCAGGAAACAGAATCATGGCGAGACAAAAAGGGGCAAACAACCCAAATCAAGCAGGGGTAGATCCATATCAGCCGGTGGTAAGACCACCACAAGCCAAGCTGAGTTGAAGGAGACCTATGGCACTGATGGAGTTAGGAGGACATCATCTTGCACAAGTGACCTCAGTGAAGCCAGCAGTGATAGTTCTGATGTTGTCATGGCCCAAGTCCTTTCTGTCTCCACACCATCGCCACCTGTACTGAGCTGTGTTGAAGACTACAGTGATGATAGCAGTAGGGACTTCAGTGACCACAGATACAGTTCTCCAGCCGACATTACCGGATCTATTTCACAGTCTCCCAACTGCTCCCAGGAAGCAAGATTCCAGTCATTGTCTCCTGACCTTTCCCAGGAAGCAGTTTCAGAGGATACAGGCATTGGCATGGATGGTATTGACCTCTTAAGTCCACAACGTGAGGTCAAGGATACACAGTTAGTTGTGGTGAGTGCTGTTCGACATTTGTGCATTAATGAGAGCAAACAGGATTGGAAGATGTTTATAATTCTCATGAATACATTCCTTCTAATACTTGAATGCCATTTTCTTGAAACTTGTCTCTGAATCCACAGGTTATGATTGACTATAATTTTTTAAGTCTAAGGTTTTGTGTTCTTTCTTCCTAGTGGTCCTTCAAGTGCTATCCGCAGACATTATCTCCCTTATCTGAAAAGCAGGAAAATCTCAAAAGTTTGGTTTGGCTATTCTTTGCTTTTGTAAACGTGGGTAAATCAAAGGGCACTAAACACATCTCTTCCGCCCACTTGGGCACAAACAATTGTTCTGCATGTGTCTGAAGTTAATGCCCACGCAAGATCTACACCGGAAGGGTTTAAAAATATACGTTAGTTGTCAATAAGGGCCAAGAAAAAAACATGGCATAGGAATTTTGCACTAGACAGAAGCGGAGATCATACCGGATAATCTTTCAGTCTCGGGGGAGCCAGGCGTTCCTCCTATCCTGTCTGATCTTGACATACCCCATCCTTCTACTTAAGAAGCTGACCGCATAGACTGCAGGAAGCCCTGCTGATCCTATCATGGGACACCCACCCAGGGATAACAGGATTGACTTTGGCAGTACATGCTGGGAAAGCTGCACAAGTTATCCCATCAGGAGTTAGGGTTACAGTACACTGGCAGCATTGGCTGTATGGGCCAAGATAGCGTTAGCCCTAGATTGCAGGATACAGCATGGACATGGCAGGCAGTATTCGGCTCTTAGTCTCGACTAGCTAACCTTGCTAGACAAATTGCACCCAAGAGGAGAAACAGCTACTTACGGTACATCAGCTCCATTCATTATTTTCATTGAGTTGGACTCGTCGGATCCTGGACAAGGATTCTCCTCTCTTGTATTCCTGGTCTCCAACACGGATTCAACAGACCACAGGATGATCATCAATGTTAAGATCCTTAAATAGGAAAGCCTGAGACCTCCTAAGATTCGGATGAGTCCATGCAGAACCTAAGGCATGACGCACATCTTACACATTCTGATCCATACAGCCTCTCAGAGATATCTTTGCTTTGCTGTAAATGGGAGACTCTTCCAGTTCAGGGTGCCACAGTCATTAAAACACTAGTCCTGGCTTATCTGCATCTACTAGATTATCAGATTCAAGGATACTTAGATGATTGTAAATATAGATGACAGACGTAGATGACAGTTTACATTATGTCCAGTTTTAGTCTATCCCCTAGAAGATTGTTATCACAATGTCCGGACCAAGATAGTGGTGCGTCAGGGATCTCCTCAAGCTCTACATCAATGGATGTCACAACTGTGAGGACTCAACTCAATGCAGGATCTAAAACCCAGAAACAGTCTGCATCTCAGGTACATAGAAGATTGGATAAACCAACATCAAGGGATGCAGATAGACTCTATCATAACACCAACAGGGATAGTTTTCAAGGACTCAGCATGGTGGAACATTTGTTATCCTTAGGACTATAATCAATATCCTCGGCAACGGTATATTTTGTCTGGAAAAGATTCTACCCATAATAATAATAATAATAATAATAATAATGTGGGTATTTAAATAGCGCTACATCCAGGTACTAATACCCGCTCATGGCACTACAATACTTAAGGGGAAAAGAAAAATGACAAAATAAATGCTTCATCTGGATGTCTTCAAGCACAAGTTGGAGCAACCTCATATAGGTCTGTTTTCAATGCTGCTCAACAACCAGTTATCAACCTGTATCAACCCAGTTCTGGATCCTCTAGCTTACACTGTGGACGCCATGATGATTTCTTTGGAAGGCATCATATGCGTTTCCACGTACATTGCTAATCCCATGTCCTAGACAAGAGGGACAGTGGGGCAGCAAAGTGGTGACAGCTTCCGCTCGTCGCGCCGAAGACCCAGGTTCAATTCCCCAGATGGAGACAGTGTGTGGCACACCCATGATATAGCTGGAATATAGCTACAAGCAACGTAAAACTAAACTCACTCATTCACACCTAGAAGATGAGGAATCATGAGATAACCCTATGTCCTGGGGCACCAACATGGCTGACACCTTCAGATAGCCTCTCCCCACTAGTGGATCAACCTCTTTGTCTGCCCCTATAGTCAACTCTACTCAGACAAGCGACAGATTCCACGGCATTCTTTAACAGCTCCACTTACACGTATGGAAACTATCCAGTGACCTCTTGTGGTATCTGGCTTTCAACAAGATGTTTCCTCACCTGTTAAACAGTCAGTCAAGCTTCAACATCTGCTAAGTGGACTTATGACTTAAGTGGAACCAATTACAGCAGTTGAGTCAATGTCTGTATAACAGTGCCAATTTTAGCAGAATTTCTACTCATCTTAGAAAGGACCTAAATCTTTCACACATGCATTGGCATTTGTCCTAACAAAACAAGGGATTCATATTGTGAAGGACCCGGTGTAAAAGGCCAAACTTTTCCCCTGGCCAAACCTTCATAAAATATGGAAGTGACATCATCATGACGTCATCAGAAATGATGTTGGAAATGATATGATGATCTACTATCATAATAAGGACAGCAACAAGAAGTTTTCACTAGTGTTGTCACAACAAATGAATGTAGGTCTAATTGTCTTATCAGTAAACATTTAGACTTTTTGTGTTTCATGGATGTCTTAATAACTTAGATTGGGGGTACTCTGGGCCCATCATGTTTCTTGTAGGATTCAGCAATCAAGTGTTTGAGGGACATATTCATTAGAATTTTTTACATCTCTCACTGATAGCTCTTGGAAGACCACTAGGAAGAAAGACAACACAAAACCTTGGACTTCAAAAATTATATTCAACCTGTGTATTCAGAAAAAAGTTTCAGGAAAAAGGTGCTCAAGTGTTAGAGTAGACTAACAACTAGTCTCTGAAATGAACATATTTTACTGGAAAAAGTTCATAGTAAAAAAAAATATATAATGAAAAGGAGCCCTGAGACTTTCTTCATTTTCAGAAGCTGAGGAAATCTAGACTTGCCACATTTTCTAGACTTGTGTGGGCTTTCTTGGATATATTTGCTTCAGGGTCTGTACGAGAGACTAGTGTTAGAGGTACTGTTTAAAGAATTATAATCACTGTTGATAATGTCAGAATTTCGTCTTAGCTGATTCATGGTATGAACACTGTAAACTGTTGTAAAGAGTTAATTCATATTTTAAAAGTTTTCCAGTCAAAGTAAATTATTATCAAACTTAGATTTCAGCTTTAGTGCTTCATTGTCTCAATTTCTGCTTCTCAGTCATATAAATATGATAAATTAATTCACAAGTCAGCTTGATAGGAAAATCCATGTACATGATGAATTATTCGTGTTCAGTATTTTTCAGAACCATTTATAGTACGTGTGGCATATTAACGCCTCTGTCCCACTGAAGGTCATAGTTTAATTTGTAAATTACATGAATGCATTCAGTAGTTGCAATCATCAGGAGAATATGTTGTTCTCACTTAGGATGATGTGTAACAATTCCGTCACAATACATCCAAACACAGGTTTCCAAGCACCTCATACACCATGCCCACAACTCCATGCATGTGTCTAGTCATCATGAAATTGAAGTCCTAAAGTGGTTACATTGTGAACAGGGTTTTTGTAATCATTATTTGTTGGATGATTGTTTTAGATCTTCAAAACCTGACCCTTAGCAAACTTCAAATGTATGCTTTAATTACTCAGGCATAGTAAGTGAGTCTTTTGATAACACTAACTATGCTAACAATGAGATGCAGTCAAGCAGTAAGACTTTGTGAAGATTCCAGGTAAGAATGGTTGTAAGAGGTAATCAATGATAGTTTTATCAGATTAAGTGATTGCACATCATCATACTCTGGATAATTGCCTACAATATTGATCTCTGTGATGTCAGGCTAGTGTCATGTAATATCATTCCCATCCCACTGGTATTTCAGTTTGTAGTCTGAAGTATCTAACGTATTTTCCATCAGCAACTAAAGACAACTAGTATATGTTGTACTTATTTGGTGTATTAATTCATGTAGTTAGTATTTCAAAAGCTTTTGGGCCTTGGTTTCACCCAACTGTCTGCCTGTGATGGGCCTGCTTCATTGTCGCCAAAGACTCTTCTCTTCAGTGTATTACCAGTAGAGCTCTTTCTCTCTGCAACCATATACTTATGGCTCAATTAACACTTCTTTACAGTGATACCCTCTATCAAAATGAACATCTGAATGGCCAGATTTTGGCTGATGTAGAGCATGGTGTTTCCAGAGATGGTATAATGAGGATATATATTAATATGGTACATTGTATATTAATATTGTGATAAGGGTAGAGAATTTGTACGAATTTTCAGTCCATATTTATCATTGTTGATATTTCTAAGAATACTGAATTGTTTTCTGAGACACTTACCTTCAAATATGTGCAATTGCATTTTCATTCATGTAACTTTTTTATGTGCTTATTTGCTTGGAATCATCAAAGGGTATTGCATTGGTGATATATGTTCTAGCACACATGAACAAGCAAGAGTGAAAGAAACATAAAGGTTAAATCCAGAATTATCATGTACAATGATAGGTCTACTAATAATACATTCCACTGTACTGATAGAGATATTGATTACTCAGAGTCTGGTTGTAATACATTGTGCTGTATTGATAGAGATATTGATTAGTCAGGGTCTCTTGTAATACATTCCGCTGGATTGATAGAGATATTGATGAGTCAGGGTCTGGATGTAATACATTCCGCTGTATTGATAGAGATATTGATAAGTCAGAGTCTGGTTGTAAAACATTCCACTGTATTGATAGAGATATTGATATACAGTGTATGGTTGTAATACATTCCACTGTATTGATAGAGATATTGATTAGTCAGGGTCTGGTTGTAATACATTCCACTGTATTGATAGAGATATTGATTAGTCAGAGTCTGGTTGTAATACATTCCACTGTATTGATAGTGATATTGATAAGTCAGAATCTGGTTGTAATACATTCCGCTGTATTGATAGAGATATTGATTAGTCAGAGTCTGGTTGTAATAAATTGCACTGTATGGATAGAGATATTGATATACAGTGTATGGTTGTAATACATTCCACTGTATTGATAGAGATATTGATTAGTCAGAGTCTGGTTGTAATAAATTCTGCTGTATTGATAGAGATATTGATTAGTCGGGGTCTTGTTCCAATACATTCCACTGTATTGATAGAGATATTGATTAGTCAGGGTCTGGTTGTAGTACATTCCACTGTATTGATAGAGATATTGATTAGTCAGGGTCTGGTTGTAATAAATTCTGCTGTATTGATAGAGATATTGATTAGTCGGGGTCTAGTTCCAATACATTCCACTGTATTGATAGAGATATTGATTAGTCAGGGTCTTGTTTTGATACATTCCACTGTATTGATAGAGATATTGATTAGTCTGAGTCTGGTTGTAATACATTCCGCTGTATTGATAGGGATATTGATTAGTCAGGGTCTGGTTGTAATAAATTCCTCTGTATTGATAGAGATATTGATTAGTCGGGGTCTGGTTCCAATACATTCCACTGTATTGATAGGGATATTGATTAGTCAGGGTCTTCTTTTGATACATTCCTCTGTATTGATAGAGATATTGATTAGTCAGGGTCTTGTTTTGATACATTCCGCTGTATTGATAGGGATAGTGATTAGTCAGGGTCTGGTTGTAATAAATTCTGCTGTATTGATAGAGATATTGATTAGTCGGGGTCTTGTTCCAATACATTCCACTGTATTGATAGAGATATTGATTAGTCAGGGTCTGGTTGTAGTACATTCCACTGTATTGATAGAGATATTGATTAGTCAGGGTCTGGTTGTAATAAATTCTGCTGTATTGATAGAGATATTGATTAGTCGGGGTCTGGTTCCAATACATTCCACTGTATTGATAGAGATATTGATTAGTTGTAACACATTCTACTGTATTGATAGAGATATTGATTAGTCAGGGTCTGGTTGTAGTACATTCCACTGTATTGATAGAGATATTGATTAGTCAGGGTCTTGTTTTGATACATTCCGCTGTATTGATAGGGATAGTGATTAGTCAGGGTCTGGTTGTAATAAATTCTGCTGTATTGATAGAGATATTGATTAGTCGGGGTCTTGTTCCAATACATTCCACTGTATTGATAGAGATATTGATTAGTCAGGGTCTGGTTGTAGTACATTCCACTGTATTGATAGAGATATTGATTAGTCAGGGTCTTCTTTTGATACATTCCTCTGTATTGATAGAGATATTGATTAGTCAGGGTCTTGTTTTGATACATTCAGCTGTATTGATAGGGATAGTGATTAGTCCGGGTCTGGTTGTAATAAATTCTGCTGTATTGATAGAGATATTGATTAGTCGGGGTCTTGTTCCAATACATTCCACTGTATTGATAGAGATATTGATTAGTCAGGGTCTGGTTGTAATACATTCCACTGTATTGATAGAGATATTGATTAGTCGGGGTCTTGTTCCAATACTTTCCACTGTATTGATAGAGATATTGATTAGTCAGGGTCTGGTTGTAATACATTCTGTTGTATTGATGGAGATATTGATTAGTTGTAACACATTCCGCTGTATTGATAGAGATATTGATGAGTCAGGGTCTGGTTGTAATACATTGTGCTGTATTGATAGAGATATTGATTAGTCAGGGTCTGGTTGTAAAAAATTCTGCTGTATTGATAGAGATATTGATTAGTCGGGGTCTGGTTCCAATACATTCCACTGTATTGATAGAGATATTGATTAGTCAGGGTCTGGTTCCAATAGATTTCACTGTATTGATAGAGATATTGATTAGTCAGGGTCTTGTTTTGATACATTCCGCTGTATTGATAGGGATAGTGATTAGTCATTGATAGGGATAGTGATTAGTCAGGGTCTGGTTGTAATAAATTCTGCTGTATTGATAGAGATATTGATTAGTCGGGGTCTTGTTCCAATACATTCCACTGTATTGATAGAGATATTGATTAGTCAGGGTCTGGTTGTAATACATTCCACTGTATTGATAGAGATATTGATTAGTCGGGGTCTTGTTCCAATACATTCCACTGTATTGATAGAGATATTGATTAGTCAGGGTCTGGTTGTAAGACATTCTGTTGTATTGATAGAGATATTGATTAGTTGTAACACATTCCGCTGTATTGATAGAGATATTGATTAGTCAGGGTCTGCTTGTAATACATTGTGCTGTATTGATAGAGATATTGATTAGTCGGGGTCTGGTTCCAATCCATTCCACTGTATTGATAGAGATATTGATTAGTCAGGGTCTGGTTCCAATACATTCCACTGTATTGATAGAGATATTGATTAGTCAGGGTCTTGTTTTGATACATTCCGCTGTATTGATAGGGATAGTGATTAGTCAGGGTCTGGTTGTAATAAATTCTGCTGTATTGATAGAGATATTGATTAGTCGGGGTCTTGTTCCAATACATTCCACTGTATTGATAGAGATATTGATTAGTCAGGGTCTGGTTGTAATACATTCCACTGTATTGATAGAGATATTGATTTGTCGGGGTCTTGTTCCAATACATTCCACTGTATTGATAGAGATATTGATTAGTCAGGGTCTGGTTGTAATACATTCTGTTGTATTGATAGAGATATTGATTAGTTGTAGCACATTCCGCTGTATTGATAGAGATATTGATTAGTCAGGGTCTGGTTGTAATACATTGTGCTGTATTGATAGAGATATTGATTAGTCAGGGTCCGTTGTAATACATCCCACTGGATTGATAGAGATATTGATTAGTCAGAGTCTGGTTGTAATACATTCCACTGTATTGATATAGATATTGGTATACAGTGTATGGTTGTAATACATTCCACTGTATTGATAGGGATATTGATTAGTCAGAGTCTGGTTGTAATACATTCCACTGTATTGATATAGATATTGATATACAGTGTATGGTTGTAATACATTCCACTGTATTGATAGGGATATTGATTAGTGAGAGTCTGGTTGTAATACATTCCACTGTATTGATAGAGATATTGATTAGTCAGGGTCTGGTTGTAATACATTGCGCTGTATTGATAGAGATATTGATTAGTCAGGGTCTGGTTGTAATACATTCCGCTGTATTGATAGGGATATTGATTAGTCAGTCTGGTTTTGATATGTTCTGCTGTATTGATAGAGATATTGATTAGTCCCAGTCTGGTTTTAATACATTCCGCTGTATTGATAGAGATATTGATTAGTCAGAGTCTGGTTGTAATACATTCCGCTGTATTGATACAGATATTGATTAGTCAGGGTCTGGTTGTAATATATTCCACTGAATTGACAGAGGTCTGGATTAAAGGTCAGTCTGGACAGATTCCGCTGTCCCTAATAATAATTATACAGAGACTACGATTGAAACATGTTGGTATTCTTGACTTGATGCCCCCAGGACAATACAAAACTCACAAAGCATACATCAGAAACACATAGTCACTCTTTCATCTGGTGTGAGGTTGTAGTTGGCATATTTCATGTGCAACAAGTACCAGGTATGCAATGTGTTTTGTGGTGTGTAAAATGTGGACAAAACTGGTTACTGCATTGATCTTTTTCCAGACTCTTGTTTTGTAGGATGTTTTCATATACCATGTACAAATCTTTGTTTATTTTCAGGGATCAAATTGTGAAAATCAGAATGACATTTTTCAAACAGCAACTGAGAAAACATCCACAGAAAAGGAATCATCAATTCATAGAGAAAAGACAGTTAGAGTAGAAGACACCTTGAAAACTGTAACTGATGTCAAGAAAACAGTGACACAGACTTCTGAATTAAAAACTTGTAAGAAATCTAAAGTGCAGGTAGATTTTATATTAGAAGGACACAAAGTCCCAGAAAAAAAGTTTAAGCTTGACCCTGAAAGTATTAAACAAAAACATCGACACAAATCCACATGTTCAAACAAGGAGGGCAGTAGCAGAGACAGTGTGTATAGTGCTCCATTAAAGACTGTCATCTCAGCCTGTGCCAAGACTGGCAAAGAGAATGTAGGGGATAAACATGTGGCAAATATATTTACTGGTCTGTCAAATGTACTCCATCCAAGCATCAAGCCCAGGGGTCCCACTGGTGGCCGGCTGACTGACCCAAGGATGGAAACGAGTACAAGCCAAGCCAATAACACATGTGAAACTGGCAAAGTCACCACCAAGCGCAAGGAGTGTAATCCAAATGACTTTGCCCAGCCTCTTGAAAAGATCCTGAACAGTTCACTTCTGCCCATATTACCTGACAACAAGACAATTTTGGATAAAGGTAAGCATGACCTTTGTGTGAATTACACAATGCCATTTTAGAAAGTGGTCAAATGTAACCGTGTTACATGACCTTTGTGGTTTCAGAAGTGCTTTACATCTACAGTCAGACCTCGTTAATACCAACACTTTGGTTTTTTAAAAAAAACGTTCGGATAGTGAAACGTTCGTACTGCTGAAACCACAGTATATGCACCGAGTTACTTCCCCTTAATACAACTACAACTGAAATAAAATTATTTTTGAATGAAAATGCAAGCTTACATTTATAACGTCCAGATAAACCACGAAAGAAGCAAAAACTATGGCGATTTTTTTCCATTTGTGACATGTCATAACATGCCCGTGCCTTTTTCTTTTATATTTTCATTTTTACGTCATCAGAAAATTATTATAAAAAGATTTCTTAAATAATATGTACGGTCGCCTATTTCCCGATATCTGTGGCTTTCCGCTCGGTAACATGACATAACAACGGAAAATACCTGCGCGCTTTCGAAGCATCGCATGAATAACATGGGAGGCGAATCGTTTGATGTCGGGTATTGTTCGAAAGCTCTGAACATCAACAACATCACTGAACCCTTGCCGAGAGTATTTTCACAGTTGTAAGAAGCGATTTTATTGGATACAAATTGGTTTCTAATGACGCTTTTTCACTACAGTCTGCTATCAGGGTCGTGATTGGTCAAAATCAGACACGTGACCTAAGGCAGCCAATCATATTACGGAAATGGATACCGTCCTCGTAAATGAAAACTTTTAGATTTAGACGAAAGTTTTGGGTAAAATAATGCTATTTTGAACATATTAAGCAAGAAATCGCTACCTATACGTAAATTATGGAACTTATTGGACGTATCGTGCTAGGTTATGACCTGTGACAAAAATGCTTCATGTATATATTTTGTTGATTGTATTCATTAGTTTATTCAATATGTTTAATGAATTCCTCGAAACATCGTTACTTTGCTCTTTGACAATGTTATTGTGGACCCGCTGCCGGCATGCGTCCGAGTCGCTAAGCCGCTAAACAAACAACGTGTCACTTTGGGTGGGCCAGTCAGCAGCGCGGTCAACTTCAATCGTTCGGATTAACGCAGCTGTTTACAACGTAATTAGTCCAATCCGTTCCGACTAACCAGCGTTCGGAGGCGGAAACTGAATCATCGGATTAACGAGGTGTCAATTATATACAATATATAGGGAGATGATTTGGTGCCCAGTGAGTAGCGTTCGGAAGTCGGTGGATTCGGATTAACGAGGACCGGATTGACGCGGTCTGACTGTATACCGTGATACTGATCAAGGTCAAACACCTAAACACTCACTAAATGCAGATACTGAAATACCCTCCCAACCATTTCTATGGCATTTTAGTTCATGTGTTTACTGACAAAATTTCTGTTCTCAAGATTACAAAAATACTCTGTAACTTTTTCACCTTTATTGATCCATCGAGCCCCAGACCTGACCAGTAGCCCTTCCAATTTTATTTTCCTTTAGTCTTGCAATTCCTGTCTTTTTTGTTCCAATGCTTCAACATTTTCTTTTGTTATGTTGCTTTCTGGTCTATTAATCTCACTCAATAAATCATTCTCATTTTTCTTGCATTCTTTATTTTTTAAAGATGAATAAGAAATAGTTTTCCCTCTTATCTCCATTAATAAAGTTTCAAAGAAAAGTTGATCACTTACAGTAAAATCAGCTGAGGCTGGAGATAAAGCGTCAGAGTCATTGATACTGGTAGGTTTTGAATACTGTTTAGTGACTTCAGAAATAGCTTGTTTTATTTCATTAATTAACAGTCTCTAAGCAATGAGTTATTAAATTTCCAGTATGTACCTTTTTTATCCTGATATGTAAGATCTATATGTAGAGTAACCATGGAATGATCTGATCTGTAGCCTTGTATAATGTTAGCACTGGTAACATGACAATACAAATCTTCAGAAACAACAAAATATAATCTAGTTGTGCTTGCTTCAAAGGATATTTTCTCCTCCAAGTATACTTGCATAAGTCAGGATTGTGGTCACGCCAAATATCTATCAAATTTAATTTGCCCAGCATTTCTAAGACCTGATCCCTGGCAAGAAGATTGATTAATATTTTTATAATTATTTGTAACTTTATAAGGGTCAATTACTAAATTGAAGTTGCCACCAATACCAGATATATGACCGACTATAAGTCGGAAATTTGATACCAGAAAATGTAGGTAAAAAATCAGACCCGACTTATACTTGAGTTCATTAATCTACCCAAAAAATTCCCGAGGTCAGGTGTGTGAATCTGCCAGCCCTGCGAACTCAACTGGCAATGTTTACACCGGAAGCAGGAAGCATATACGTACTGACAACGTTTCCAAAGGTAAATGACATCGTGGGACAAATAAAACATAAAATATAAAACTTTGTTGTTTGTCTTTTGTAAAATATATTTCATAGTATAAACAATACATTAAATTTAATCAGATATTTTGATCACAGCCATGTACTTACAGGTACTTTGTTATCGAGCGATAAAGTTGGGCCACGTGACACGACTTGTTTCACGTAAAGTAAACTTATTTGTATGGTATTTTTCCTTATCCTGACTCATGCTCTTTTGATGTCGGGCATCGCTCGTCTTCTTCTTCTTGAAGCAATTTAACATAGTGGAACACTAGTGTATCTCCCTAATTGAAGCTCCCTTCAATTTAAAATCACTAATTAGTATTCACCACGAAGTTACCTCCTTTCACAAGCTGAACGAGGGCTTCACCTCTACCCATGTGCCTCACTCTCTTCTTCTTCGCCCAGTGAGCTGGACGTGAGAGCTCTGTGTCTCCCGACACACTATATCCTTTGAAATATATTTAGTTAGTTACCTCGTGATAGACATCTATAGAGGTTTAGCTAGTATCCTTCAACGATTATATATTGATATTTAGTCGCTTTTCTACAGTTTATTCAATGGACGCCGTGGTTTGTTTCAGTGGATTACGCTTGATGAAAATTCTGTACTATTGCAGATTACGCTTTTATGCTGCTGCTGATCCGCCTTTAATATGATGTAACGGCCATGTTTATTATATTCACATTGCAGTTGCGTACTAATTTATCCAATTCTACCTTTTATTAATATTTACTTTGGCGCTTGGCACGCATACAGCAGATAGGTCGCTGTGATGCAGACTCTAGTATGACTGATACACCGGAACCCTCGCCAGTCTACTGCTGTTGGTCGACTCTCCCGTGTGGTGGTGTTCCGCTAGAGTGGTGGAGAGGTGTGGACGTAGTCCGCCATCTCCAAGAAGCATCCTGCTTCCCCAGACATCCCATCGCCGCAGCAGAAGACTAGAGGGTTTTTCTACCACATCTCAACAGCCGAGACCGCTCCCATCGCAGTTTGGGCCTGTTTGATGATCAGCCGTCATCATACCAGATGTACATCAAAGATTGACCGATGTCGGCTCAGATCAGCATGCAGCCTGATGTACCAACGCGAGATATGCTGGCGATCGGCCCTGAGGGTCCCATCATTACTAACACTCAACGCAGACGCCGCGACACCCAGGGCAGCGCCGACCTCTGAGGGAAAATCAACGGTCTACTAGGACTTTCTCAACCGAGATTGTTCCAGCCGATGACCTGGACCTCTACGATGATCAGCTGATCATCATCCCCGACGCGCACGCCACAAGAAACGACCGGTGATTAGCTACAACGACATCAGCAGAGATCACCATGCAGCCTGATGCCTCTACACTGATGTCGGACGATTTTCCGTGGACCCTCCATTAACACCGCAGATAAAGCACCGACGCACTTCGCCGCAGACCATCCCAGAAGACATGATGCGACAAATTATGAACATCATGGAGGACCACTATATCTGCGGTAGCAGGGTCCGAAGTTTTTCGCTGAAGGCTCCAACGTGACAGCACCCCAGAGGCACCCCCGTCCAACGTAGCAGCCAGGACGATGTCACCTTCGCTGGCGAAGTCACGGACCACCTTGACGGCGACCTAGATGTACAGCCTTCGCTAAGGCCTTCGGGCGGAAAGGACCTAGATGTACAGCCTTCGCTGGGCGAAAGAACCTAGATAGTACAGCCTTCGCCAAGGACTTCGCGAAGGCAGGATAGATCATCACCTTATGCGTTTCATCCCTAGATGTGGACTCGACCATCAGACATCACGGAAGCCTTCGCTGGCTGGGTCATATCGCTGCCTCCGACCGACGCAGAGGAAGCTTCGCGAAGGCATGCCCAGGACACCTGAATCCAGATCATCATCATCTAGAAGGACATCGAGGGACTATACAAGAGCTTCACAAAACTATCAACGCTCTCACAAGTCTCCGAAAGATCAACCCATAGACAAGTTGATCATCGATATCAAGTATATAAGAACTACAATCGATATTGGTTCTGTTGAATCCATGACGAGACGTGATGTTCGCTGGCCTAAATAGATCTAGAACGATCAATTAGACACTTATCACCAGACTTCGTGAATACCTACTTCTGAATATGATAAGATGATCCATGCGGCCCTATTTAGGCAAGCGCCACCGATCCCACATCCTGTTAAACACAGAGGCTGTTCACGGCAAGCAAGCGCCATATATATATTTATATATATATATATATACTAATCGGGTTTTGATTCTCGACACCTTCGCGATGGTCGCTAAGGCTAAGTGGCTCCAAGTCTACTTCACCCAGAAGATCTAGAAGGGATACTTCGAGAACTTCGCTAAGTCTCCGGCGCTCACCGAGGAAGTCTCCTCCAAGGTTTCCATATACTAGCCACTGGCCATATATAGCTACTCGTCAGTCCGTTTCAAGACGCCGCATAAGTTGATTATCAACTGTATGCCAGATGCCGCCTATAAGCCTCTGCTAAGATAATTGCTCAGGCTATTTACAACACAGAACGCCGCTGTATTATTAGTCAACCACATTTCATAGATCTTCACAGAAATCAACTATTCCGTGATAAATTGCTAATATACAATCCCGACGACGATACGATTATCTACATGCGTGACCATTACGCATATCTGCAGACAATTCAATATCGAAATTGAACAGCAGCCTTGTTACAGCGAGTATAACTCTTAATCGCAAAAGTTTCTGAGAAGAAATATGTACAACAAGTTCAACGCTAATTCTACAATTATGACGATACATTCATGTATACAGTCTACAAGCTCACAACTTGCAAGTTGTTTATACCCTTATATATAAGGAAGTCGGAATTATATTCAAAACTGAAATTACTTTCACGACAACCAGGAAAATAACCTACCCAGCATAAAATTACAGAGCCAGATATTTCACAACCGGAGGTTTTCGCATGATACCATTAACCCTCGAACACGGGTCACCGGATAACTTCGAAGCTACGGTGAAGACCGACGCTTATGCTAATATCAACGACGACAAGAATTTATTCAAGGTGGGTTTTTCCCCGCTACACCGGGTGACATCACAGCTGGTATTATACAGAATCAAAATGCCTTGTTCTGATTGGACCATGAGGGACAACGACCTACACAGAGGTCGATCTCAATTCACAGTTCAAGACTTACGCCACAAGTGACAACTATATATCAGTGAACGAGCAAGCCTCATTACAGTCCAGTTAACCTGAACATTCATGATTAGACTGCCTTTCTTCATTAGAGACCTCCCCTGTCAAGTTAAGACGAGGGATCGGCAGTCAGGCGATTTTACATAAAGTTCAACGAGGACAGACACACCTGGTTGTGCACCTACATCGCCAAGGACTTCGCAGCTTAATTACCTAGACGAAGATACAAGTGGATCTAAATCCACAGCTGCTTCAGACTACAGCTGAATTTCATCAAGCTTACTTAACACAACTAGATGGTTAGTAAACCTACTAAACTTCTGTTTGGAGAATAAAACGGAAATTTCACTTCCCAACCTGGGGATATGAATATAGTGTTCCAACACCTCACAAGTGAGGTTTATGAACACGCCTGGATGACATACTTGGACCCCATGATACGATGATTCTATCAAGTTGGCCAGCAAGAGCACTGTAAATTTATCTCCACTTAAACCAAACAGGAGGAAAAAAAATGCAACAGATTATTTCCTCTATCATCAACTTACGAGAGTGAAGTCTCATGTACTATATCTCCATTTGGATCAGAACTGTCATACTACGCATATATGCGGATGGACCTATTCCGACCCTCCATGAGCTTAATACTCATGATATTATAGCTAACTTCTACAATTGTTCTACACAAATGTGATTGAAATAATGGAGGGTTATTTCTGAACCGATATGGTGGTTGCAAACCATTATCTGAGAGATATCACCACCGAGGACGCCCCAGGTATACACCAATTCGATCCCATGGTCCTCGCACAACAGCTGATAGTTCTCGAGAAGATAAGTCAATCTAACAGATTTTTACTTATCTTATAACAATACTAAATAGCTTCATGCTATGTATAATTTACTTAAGTTCCTTTTATCATCACAGTACTATGATTATTACATCATACAATATATAAGTTAACAACTCTACAGAGTTTGTTATTATATATATTTACCTTAAGTTATTCATATCTTAAGAGTAATACTATGGTTACATGATAAATGCATTAGCTAACAAACTCTACAGAGTTTTTGGCTTATTTTATACATAGCTTAAGTTAATTAAGCTAACAAACTCTACGGAGTTTTACTATTATATAGGTAACTTAAGCTAATTATACCTTAAGCATAGTACTATACTCATATTATTAAAATATATTGGCTAACAAACTCTAAGGAGTTTTGCTATTATATAGGTAGCTTAAGCTTATTCATATCTTAAGCTTAGTACTATGTTTATATCATATAAGTAGATTAGCTAACAAACTCTAAAGAGTTTTTTGCTATAAGTATCATCATATTTCTAAGCAATATGGTTATATTATAACATGTATTAGCTATCAAACTCTACAGAGTTTTAGCTATTATATATGTAACTTAAGCTTATTCATATCTTAAGCCAGTACTGTTTATATCATATAGGTATATTAGCTATCAAAACTCTAAAAGAGGGTTTTGCTATTATATATTTTCGCTTAAGTTTCATCATATTTTAAGCTTTATGGTTACATTATAACATGTATTAGCTAACAAACTCTACGGAGTTCTTGCTATTATATATGTAGCTTAAGTTTTCCTTCATAAGCTCAATACTAGGTTTATATCATAGCTAACAAACTCTAAAGGGTTGTTTTCACTTATTATACAATTAGCTTAAGTTTCATCATATCTTAAGCAGTATGTTTACATTATAAAGGTATTAGCTAACAAAACCTCGACGGAGTTTTGTTATTATATATATATAGCTTAAGTTTCATCATAACTTAAGCTCAGTATTATGTTTTTAACATAAAAGTATATTAGTTAATAAACTCTAAGGAGTTTATTTTGCTATATACTTTTAGCTTAAGTCTAATCTTATCTTAAGCTTAGTACTATGGTTACACTATAAACATATTAGCTAATAAACTCTACAGAGTTTTTGGCTATTATATATGTAGCTTAAGTTAATAATATCTTAAGCACAATACTATACTCATATTGTAAAATATATTAGCTAACAAACTCTACGGAGTTTTGCTATTATATATGTAGCTTAAGTTCATTATATCTTAAGCACACTACTATACTCATATTGTAAAATATATTAGCTAACAAACTCTAACGGAGTTTTGCTATTATATATGTAGCTTAAGTTAATTATATCTTAAGCACACTACTATACTCATATTGTAAAATATATATTAGCTAACAAAACCCTACAGAGTTTTGCTATATATATGTAGCTTAAGTTAATTATATCTTAAGCTCAGTACTATACTAATATTATAAATATATATTAGCTAACAAACTCTACAGAGTTTGCCTATTATATATGTAGCTTAAGTTAATTATAGCTTAAGCACAGTACTATACTCATATTATAAAAATATATTAGCTAACAAACTCTACAGAGTTTTTGCTATTATATATGTAGCTAAAGCTTATTCATATCTTAAGCTCAGCATTATATCTATATCATATAAGTATATTAACTAACAAACTCTAAAGAGTTTGCTATTATATAATTAGCTTAAGTTTAATCATATCTTAAGCTTAGTACTATGTTATATCTTAAAGTATTTTAGCTAACAAACTCTAAGGAGTTTATACTAGCATATTAACAAGCTTAAGTCTATTAGTCTTAAGCATTGTATTAATGTTATATATACTTTATCATAATAAGTACATGATAATAACCTTTTATATGGCAGCTGATAAGTTAGCAGCAGGAATTCATCAGTTCAGTGCCTTTATGAAGTTCCCATAGGGTTATTACAATCATCACAGTTCAAATCACTAATTATTAAAAATCCAAAGTATTAGATATTCCCACCTCCGTTCCGTAGGATGCTACAAGCAAAAAGAGCATGAGTCAGGATAAGGAAAAATATGTAATTTTTGGAGTAAAATTGATATTTTATACTTATCCTGACTCATGAGGTCAGCCCTCCCATCCTCCCCAAATAACACTTTGGATTTCCCTGTAAATTCAAATGTTGGGCTCAGTATATGAGGAGAGAGTGAGGCACATGGGTAGAGGTGGCGCCCTCGTTCCCACGCTTGTGAAAAGGAGGTAACTCGTGGTGAATACTAATTAGTGATTTTAAATTGAAGGGAGCTTCAATTAGGGAGATACAAGTGTTCCACTATGTTCGCAAGAAGAAGAAGACAAGCAAAAAGAGCATGAGTCAGGATAAGTATAAAATATCAATTTTACTCCAAAAATTACATTATTGGATAAAAATGGTTTCTAATGACGCTTTTTCGCCACAGTCTGCTATCAGGGTCGTGATTGGTCAAAACCAGACACGTGACCTAAGGCAACCAATCATATTACGGCAATGGATACCGTCCTCGTAAACGAAAACCTTTAGATTTAGACGAAAGTTTTGGGTAAAATAATGCTATTCTGAACATATTAAGCAAGAAATCGCTACCTATACGTAAATTGTGGGATTTATTTGACGTATCGTGCTAGGTTATGACCTGTGACAAAAATGCTTCATGCATATATTTTCGCATTAAACATTGTGTCCGAGCGTGAAGATGGAGGCGGCGATACCGATACGTACGGGGAAAGGGGCCGACTTATACTTGAGTTACATGGTTTTGGCAAGAATTTAGAGGGTTGAGAAAGGGGCCCGACTTATAGTCGGATCCGACTTATAGTCAGTCATATACGGTAATACAAGACAAATTTCCAAAATCTTTTATTTTTTGGACAACCAATTTGTAAAATTCAGGTTTGTCAGAATTTGGACCATATATAGTGCCAATAGTAAGTCTTTTGCCAAAACTTGAAATATCTATAAGCAAGAAATTACCATTATCATCTTTATATATGTTATGTAATTCATATTCAAAATTATTATTCAATAAAATGGCAACACCTCGAGACTGGGAAGTATGACAATTAAAGACACAATTGTAACCCCATTCAGACCTCAGTAATGATTCATTTCCAGAAACAAAATGAGTATCTTGCAGCAAATACAAAAAATACTTCTGCGATTTGAGAAAATTGAAAACATCGTTTCTTTTTCTGTAATCTCCAAGACCCCAACAGTTAAAAGAACTACAAACAAAATCTGTATTCATTGTAGTATTAAAAAAATATCAATATTTCACTACACCAAGTCCAAAGAGCATAGACAAGATAATGGGAACAGACATCTTGTCGGTGAAGAAATGGAGATGAAGATAGGTTGGACATGATTACCTGTTTGAAACAGTCTCTCTCTATCAAACACACACAAACACAAACACAAACGCAAACACTCACACATGAAAACAATCATAAACAAAGTAACGAATCCAAATCTCACATCAATACCTGTATTACCCAATCGGGGAGGTGGGGTAGCCTAGTGGTTAAAGCGTTGGCTCGTCACGCCGAAGACCCCGGTTCGATTCCCCACATGGGCACAATGTGTTAAGCCCATTTCTGGTGTCCCCCGCCGTGATATTGCTGGAATATTGCTAAAAGCGGCGTAAAACTAAACTCAGTCAGTCAGTCAGTGTATTACCCAATCCCCAGTAAGATGAAAATTTGATCTAAGTCTAGATCTAACACTGTAACATAATAGATCTAGTTTGAAAAAATAAATAAAGAAAGAAAATAAAAGTCCTGAGGGAATAGGATAGAAAAAAAAGGGAACCTCTTTTTAACTGTAAATCATTGAGTAAGAAGATAAACACCCTTTGTACTTACTTCTACTCCAGACCTACAGAGTAGCCATATATGTTTACATCATTATCGTGGCGTACACGTGATCTCAGATGGCCAATCAGATGACAGACGTTACAAATGTGTCGGACCACATGATCTAGTGTGTCCAATCATATGATTTTATATAAAGTAACTAAAAATAGACCCACGTGTACGAGACATGTATTTTGTATATATGACAGACTGCTCTTGTACAGATCACAGGATATTTCAGTCAAACACACCATGATATATAATCCATATAGACCTATGTAGCAGTTCTATAAAGCAGTTCCAATACAACTTAATCGAATGCACATCCTGTTCGCCACACACACAGGACAAGGTTTCTCTATGTCCCATGATAACACAAATGTTTAGGCTTGTCCCTCACACAAATCAAAAGCTTAGGTCTCGTCCAAGGAGTAAAGCGGGAATTTTAGAGCTGAAGTTCTTCGTCAAGCCCAATGCTTTTCCATGGTTTTGTCGAGTCGAGTTGATACTGCAAACTTACAGAGGTCTCTTTTTCGTTGGTTTGAAGGTCTTTATGGGTCGTTCATAAACTGACATCGCTTTGGCTATACATCGACTTCTTACGGGCGGGCGGCAGATCCGCTCTGATGCGTAGTTTTTTCTTTAGCAAGGGAAGTATATTTCTTCGGGCTGCTTGTAGCACACGATCGCGATCTAGCATAGACATGAATTTGATGATCACTGGAACAGATGCATCTCTTTCACCTCCACTTGCAGAGTTAGGCATCCTTGGTAGACGATGGTAGTTGACAAAGCACATGTTTTCGATGAACGAATTATCCAACTGTAGTGTAGATTTGAATATGGCTCTTATTTCACCCAATGGATCCTTCTTTTCGTTAGGTATCCCATATAGGAGTAGATTCTGCTTTCTGGTGTACACTTGGCTGTGGAGAAGTTGCTGTTTTAGTTCCTCTATTTCTCGTTTCATCCTGTCATCAGTGTTCTTGATTTCCCCCGCCATGTTGTTTATCTTGCTGGAGTTAAAATCTACCGACCTTTCTAGATCTTCAAACATTTTCTTCAGTTGTGAAACTTCTGATGTAACGAAATCTATTTTTCTTGCAAATTTCGTCCGTATGAGATTTCAACGAATCTTTCAGGAACTCTTTTGATATCCCGTCTGTAAGTGTAACGTCAACTGGTGATGGAGCCATGTTTTCGGAGGGGGATTTTAGGGCCGTTACTTGAAACGTTGGTATGAGTAGTTGTTGCATTTAGAAAAAAGTGATGGCTCTACAGTAACTAATGATAAAGATATTTTGGAGGAAGCTTCTGCCTTTTATCAAGATTTTTATAGTTCCAGAGAGTCTGATGTTAAAAATGTAAATTTAATCGATCTCCTCCCTGAAAATCCAAAACTCGATAAAGACAATTCAAATTCTTTAGGAAGTATGATTACTAAGGAAGTGTTATTGGCATCTTTAAAGAAGTCAAAAAGTAATAACTGCCCTGGCTCTGACGGATTTTCGTACGAATTCTATAAATTTTTCTGGATTGATCTTGGTGATTATCTGTTGAGATCTATGAATGATGGCTTCAATTTGGGCAAACTTTCTGTAACACAGAGGCAAGGCATTATAACCTGTATTCCAAAGCCTGAAAAACAATAAAGGTTTATTAAAAACTGGAGACCTATATCATTACTGAACACATCCTATAAACTTATGTCTTCAGTTATAGCAGAAAGGCTAAAGAAAGTGTTGCCTTCTTTGGTTCAAGAGGACCAAACAGGTTTTATGGCAAATAGGTACATTGGTGATAATATACGCCTAATTTATAACATGCCAGGAATGCTTTTGTTAGTTGATTTTGAAAAAGCTTTTGACTCCATTTCCTGGTCATTCATTAACAAAACTTTGGCACTCTTTGGCTTTGGTAAAAAAATGAGGAAATGGGTTTCAAGTTTTTATAATGATATTCATTCAAATTTGTTAATAAAAGGAAATATGTCACATCAGATTCCTGTTCATCAGGGTTGCAGACAATGTGATCATGTCTCGCCATACATCCTTTTGCTATGTGTTGAAGTACTTGCAAGTTTACTTAGAAACAACAAAGATATAACTGGAATAACCATTGACCAAATCACTTACATTCTTTCTCAACATGCAGATGATACTGAATTTATGTTAGACGGAAGTAAAACATCATTTGAAGCCACAATTGATATGCTT